ACTGGGTTGAGTCATCTGGGGAAATGTGGTTTGGACTGGAGAATGATTCTGGGTGGTGCCCTGTGAGTTCTGAGTGAGTGGGCAGGGTGGAGGTGGTGAGGTGTTGGCTTTTGCCAAGACTTCAAGGACTTGAGGCCTGAAAATACAAATACTCCAGAAGTAATGCGCACCAACCTGTCCAGGCAGAGAGAGACCAAGGCCAAGACACCGATTAAGTGTTACAGCAATCCTCAAAGAATGTTCAAATGGCACCTTAAGCCCAGCCACAGCCAAGAGTGGATTTGTTTTATCTTTCAGAAACAGATAAAATGAATAGCTTTGTTTGAGGGGTGGGAGTACCAGTAATCGGACTCAGGACCGTACTGCACTGGTGAGCTATATTCCCAGCCCTACGTGAGTAGGCTTTGAGTATCATTGTTAGGTGAGGCATTTCACCATCTCTAAGCTGTTTTCTAAAAGATGGGCTGGAGGGGCTGGGGAGCTGGCTCAGTGGAATAAGCGCTTCCCTGGCAAGCACAAGGGCCTGAGTTCAATCCCCGGTTCTGCAAAAAACAAAAACAAACAAACAAACAAAAAAACACTAAAAACCTCATGTTAGGACTAAACAAAAAAAAAAAGGTGATACAAAGGAAGGACCATTTTGTATCTGTATATGTAGAATAGTTTGGATAGATATAGAGCTACTTTCGCTTAATTCAATGAGAAGAAAGATTTGTACTAATAGTGTTTGGACAGGATATTCTGTCTGCATCTTGTACTACAGATAACCACTAAGAAGATAACAATGTACAATGTATTAATTATCAAAACTGTCCTATTAATCAGTTTTTGAAACTGTCTCATTGATATTTGTTTCTCAATAAAATAAAATAAAATAAAAATAAAAAATGGGTTGGAGCTGAGCATGTGGTGCACACCTGTAACCACAGCATTTGGGAGGCTGAGGCAGGAGGATATTGTGAATTCAAGGCCAGTTTGGGACATAGTGAGCTTAGGACCAGCTTGAACTACATAGCAAGGCCCTGCCTCACAAACCAAACAAATAAGAAAAGATGGACTGTAGAGTTGTTCTAAAGAGTGATGAACCTCTTCATAGAAATTTTTTTTTTTTGGAAATGGCTGAATCTAGAGTGTGTGATTCATTGGTGGTGCAATGCTGAGATTAAGGGTGCTGGGATTAAGGACAGGTGATTGCTGGATCAGTCCACTGAGTGGACCCTAATCTCAGCAGCAGAATATAAGGGGCAGAAAGACAATGTTCAATTTTGGTTGTTGATTTTGCTGTCTTCCACTGCCATGAACTGCTGCCCCTCTGCCATGTGCCTCCCTGCCTTGGAGCCAGCCAATTATGGGCTGAAGCCTCTACAAACTGTGAGCTAAATGAATCTTTCCCTGATTATCTTTGGGTGTCATGTATTATTTTATAGAGAGCCCTTCCTGGTCCTCATCTTCATCTTATAGCTATAATCCCATGGATAATTGGAATCCTGTCAAGTTAATTCCAATCTACCATACCCAGTTCAACCCACAGTGAGAATAGAGACACTAAGGCATCGTTATACTTGTGGGAGCCAAGGGGTCCGTCCTAAGTCCAGCCCTGGTGATGGCTATCTGGAACCAAGGCCTCAACTCAAGGCTAAGCCTGGGTTTTACTTATTAGTGGAGAAAAAAGGTGGCTCGATGATGAACGACTGAGAATGGTGGGAAGTAGGTGAGCGCCACGAGCTGGGCTGGGTAGGAGGCCTGAAATCACTTCTGCAATATGTAGAGAGAAGGATCTGCAGGAAGAGCAGTCTGCATAACAACTGAGGTAAAAAAAAAAAAAAAAAAAAAGGTTAAAAAAAAACAACTGAGGTAGTATCTAATGTTTTGGGGGGGCCTGTACTTCAACTCTGATGTATAAGGGTTTTTTTAATGTATTTGGTGCAGGGTCTCACTACACAGTTCAGACTTGGAGTGATCCTCTTGTCTCAGTCTCCCCAGCGCTGGGATTACAGGTGTGCACCACCATGCCCTGTCTCCATGGCCAGCTCAGCATGCCCAGGGGCAGGGCCAGCACTGGCATGGCATGTAGTGCCGGGGATCATACCAGTCCCTCTGCTTGCCTAAGCAGGAGCTTAGTCTGCTGAGCTATCTGCTGGCCCTTACTGTGCAATCTTTTAAGCCCCAGGAAGTCATAGCCTCTATCTTGAGGCTCATTCTGCCCACCTAGTTGCATCACACAAGGGAGCAGCAGTGGGGGGGGGGGAGGCTGGGGAAACATGCCTGCTGTCTTCAAACACTATCACTAGCATCTCAGCTGGACCAGTATGCATTGCTTAAAGCCAATTGAAGGGATAGGGAAAAGTCCTAGCCAGCCCTGTACGTATCAATACATGGAAATAGGGTCAGGTTCAGCCAAAATGGAGACAGTTGCTGCCCTTTCAAGAAGAGTTGCTCCTGCCCCAGCAATCCTGCACATTTTATTTCAGCAACAAGAAAAATGTCACTAAGATGCGAGGCCACCAGAGCAGTCAGCTGAGGAGTAGTGGAAATGGCAGTAGGGTAGCAAGATGGGGATGGATTTCAAAGATATCCCAGGGCACCTCTTGATGTCTGTCTGGATTGTCAGTGAGGGAGCTGGAGAAGTAGTGTAGGCCTGAGTTCTGGGTTGGGACTTGGATCCTTCTTGGATATCTAGGAGGTGAAAGGGGTTTGGAGAGCAAGGTGATGGTTTGGTATTGCACAAGTTGCATTAAGGAACAACATATAGGATGGGCGGGCAGCAGAAGAGAGTGGAGAAGGGCTTGTCCCAATCCAGGCTGTTGTGGTTGGTCTTTGACCTTCTTGGGGTCTTTGAGGCAAAACTGGAAATAGAACACTCCGAATCAACCACTTCTGTGCTGGTCTAGGAAGCGAGGGGTGGACTCTTGTCCAGGCAGAATTCATGGAACCCACCCTTCGTCTTGATTGTCTCTGCTTCAGATAGGAGTCATGTGACCCACTTTCAAGTTCCAAGGAACACCAGACAAACATGCTCTCAACTAAAGGGGGGGCTCTTGTGTGCTTTGACATCAGGACCAAGTATCTGAGTCTCGGCCAAGCTCATTGTACAGAACGTCTGTCCCAGCTGTTTCCCTTCTCTGGAGTTCAGAGTCAACTCAATCCTCTGCTGCTAGTAGTGACAGTCCATGTCATTTTTCTTCTCTCCTGACCTGTGCTCTTGTGCCATTGTGATAATTCTCTGCTGGGTGTAAGCTATCCTCACTGTTCCTTCAGTGTCCCCACCACAGGATGCAAAGTACAGACTGATTCTCCAAACACCACCTCTATCTATGGTGCTGCTGCAGGAGCCCTGGCTCTCTTGGCCCAGGGACTCCTCTTCCTTGCATGCTTAGCTCCTGGTTGCTGGACTGACTGGGGACCACTCATGTGGTCCTGTATGGCCAGTCCCGGGCTGGCAGGCTTGAGGGGCAATGCGGAGCAGTGGGGAGGAATCCAGAGTCCCTGGAGGCCAATAACCACTATCAAACATGTAGAACCATTTGGACTTGAACAGAGAGCTGCTTACCTAGGTTCACAAATATGCACATCCCAGCCCCAGTGCCCCTTTATGTACATCATAGGCACATGCATTCAAGGGGGGCAAAACCTGGCTGCTCTCTTAATAGCTGGCTTCTTCAAATAAATTAATCTCTTTGTGTTTTAGTCACTCATTGCTGGGACAAAATGCCCAGCATCCACTTTTTCTTTTTCTTTTCTTTTCTTTTTTTTTTTTTTTTTTTTTTTGTGGAACCAGGGATTGAACTCAGGCCCTTGCACTTGCCAGGGAAGCACTTATTCTGCTGAGCCATCTCCCCAGCCCCATCCATATTTTTGTCTTACACTTTGTAGAGGTTTCCACCCATAGTCTGCTGAGTCCTAGGCAGGGCAGCGCGGCAGAGGGTCTTGGCAGAGGACAGCGCCTCACAGCAAACAGAAGCAGAGAGACAAGGGCGGAGCTGGGAGGGTTATGCACCCGTCCAGGCCACGCCCCCAAGGCCCACCTCTTTCAACCAGGTCTGGATTCCTAACAGCAAGCTTACTACAGCCAGGTAATCCAATCACCTTCCCAAAGCTCTGTGATAATTTTGGGGGAATATCTAGATATAAATTGTAACGTTTTGCATTTGGATCTCCTTACCTGTAAAAATGGCTGTAACAGGGGCATTACCCTCACTGAGATATAGTGAAGATTAAGTCAGATAAAAGTGAAAAGCTTAAAATAGTGCCTGACACAGGCAGAGACATGCATAGATTCACACGTATTTTCTAAGTCCTTTCCCACCTTGTTGCTGTCACATGGCAGCAGCACAATGTTGAAGTCCCGTCATCTTTCTAAGCCTCAGTTTTTTCATCTGCAAAATGGGAATATTATCTAGCTAGGGGGCAGTTGCAAAGATCTAAGAGGCCCAACTCAGAACGCTCCGACCCCAGCCTCCGGTCTACAGCAGCCTCTGAGCCCTTGGGACCTTCCTGTCTCGTTGATGAACAGGCCCAAGGATAGGAGCCAGGATCAGATGCTTAGAGGCAAAATCGGGACAGGCCTGGCCCTGGTTTCTTCCTAGGCTGAAACTGGACCGTGTAAGGACAGAGGCTGAGGGGAGAGGGGTGTCAGGTCTACTCTCTCTTTTGGAGCTTGGCTGGCCAGCGGCCGGCCAGGGGCTTGGGGGCAGGGCAGGCCGGGTGGTCAGGCTGGAAGGAAGAGAGGAAACCATCTGGGTGGAAATTGCCCTGCGGTTGGCTCTGGCGCCCTCGACTTTGTATTTATAGAGAGCTCCCAGCAGCCTAATTCCTTGCCTAGCGGTTAACTCTTTCCTAGCCGCGGTCCCAGCCTACCGCCCAGGAACCACGCGGGTCCGGATTGCGACAGTCGGATTCCAGCAGTGTGGGGGCTGGGAGGAGTCAGTGACAATCACCCGTCCCGCTCTACTCGGCCCTAGAAGTGTAGTACCCGGGTGTGTGTGTGGGCGGGGCAGCCAGCAGACCAGCGCCCCCTTCCCCGAGCGCGCCCCGGGGTCCCCGAGCGGGGTGGGGTCGGGGGCGGAGTCCACAATCCGGCCCTGCCCTGCGGGCGGGCTTAGGCCTTCGCCCCATGCTACAGCTGCGGGGCCAATCCGGGATCGGGGGCGCTCCCCGGCCTCCTTTCCGGGCCCTGGGCTTCCTCTGGCTGCCGCCCCGCCCCTCGGGCTCCCAGCCGCCCCCGGCCCCCATTCGGGCCGGGCCTGAAGGCGGCGGCGGCGGCTACAGTCCCGCGAGTGGCGGCAGCGGCGCGGTGAGTGCCGCGTGGCTGGGCGCGCGTGGCGGGGCGGGGCGGGGCGGCCTTTGTCTGAGCGGCCGGGCGCGCCTGGCGCCCCGTACCCCACCTTGGCGCACGTGAGCACGCAGGACCGGTTGCTCCTCTGGCTCCGAGGCGCAGATCCACTGCACCCCCAGCCTGGCCTCCCTTCCTGGGGCGGAGAGGGGGCTGGGGCTCCATCGGAGCCCCAGACCCTGGGCGCGGAGCGGGCTGCAGAGGTGGATCTGTCTGTGCGGGCTGGGCTGGAAGCTCAAGAAAGCGGGGAGCCTGGACTGGGAGAGAAGCTGAGGCCCCAGTTCCTCCTAAGCCCCGCGCGCCCAGGACACGAGACACTGGGTGGGTCTCGTGCTTGCAGCTGGGGGGACCACCACAGGCTACAGCGGGCACCGGGCGGGGTGCAGAGTCTGGGAAGGACAGGTAGGCCCACGAAAGACTAGGGGATGAGGAGGAATCTGGGGTGCAGGCACTGGGGAAGAGGCAGGATGCAGAGAAGCTGGAGGGAACGGAGAGAAGCTGGGGCCCAGGGTGGAGGGCCCTAGGGAACTAGAGTGCAATCCCGGTGCCTGGGGCCTCTGTAGCTACTATGTTGCTAGGAGATCGGCGGATTCAGACAGTGAGCTGGCAGAGAAGTCGCTTTATTCCTAAGCCAAACCTGTCCTAATGGGAAATGCGTGACGGGTGACTCAGCCCTGAGGTCTATCATTGACAGGAAAGCAAATAGTGTGTTGTGCATGGGGAAGAGGAGTTGATTTAATTGAGAAAAACGATTTTACTGTCAAATTGGTTGTGGATAGTCTGAAAATGAGTCGGATTTCTTCATTACACCAAGGGCCCACGTCCTTTACCTATGCACACCTGTGTAGTTGTGGTACTTCAGATTGGACTGTAAGAGAGTTCTTTATTTAGTGATGCTTCCTTCCTAATTCCCTTGGACCTCTGAGAAATCCTAAGAAATGGGATGCTGGAGTGCAGCCCTCCTTGTACTTCAGGGACCTACCCTTGTGTGTTGAGGGGCCCTTCTGAAGGCCAGGGAAATTGAAGTCTATGTGAAAGCCTAAACCTGCCCAGTGGATTGTGCCTGAGGTGTGGCAGGCTGCGGTGTGCGGTGTGCAGCTCTGTTGGGAAGAAGGGGCTCAGATTTCCTGCTTACCTGAGAATGAGAATATTGCTTGTGTGCATTTCCCTGATCCCTGCTGGCCATGGTAACCTTCCACTTCCGTGTGACAGATGTTGCAATCAGCTTACACGGGGTGTCTGCATGGCAATGAGAGCTTTCCCTGTGACTTTGGGTCAGTCCTGTGAACATCAGTTTTTGCATGAAGGCCTCACAAGACAGTGGAACTCTTCATGGAGACAGCTTTTTAACCCATGGGTTATGTGGCCTCTGTGATGTTTTGTGTGCCCTATGACTGATCCTTAGAGATCTCTGTAGCATCACATCAGTGGTGGCTTCTGCCTGCCCCCAGGGAGCTTCCCAGTGCCCTCCTGACTCCTGTGCAGCAAGCAATGAGACCACCCCGCTGATGAGAGGAGCATGGGCTAATGCCAGCCTCAAAATTGCAGGAGAAGTGCTGGCCAGATAGCTCAGTGTATTAAAGTGCCTGCTTAGGCAGATGCAGGGACTGGGCTTCGATCCCCGCTGTGCTGGCCCTGCCCCTGGGGCACTCTTGAGATGGCCACTGAGACTGGGCATGGTGGCACGCCTATAATCCCAGCTCTTGGGAGTCTGATCTGTGTAGTGAGATCCTGTAGACCCTGTACTAAATACAAAAAAGAAAAAAAAAAAAGATGGCAGGAGAGGCAGGATTCTGACCCAGATTTCCTCTCCTGTCCTTCTTCAGCTCTGGGCACTGGCTAGAACATCTCTGTTGGAGATGTTCAGTGCCTCACAGTGGGCAGTATGCTGCATGCTTTAATCCTTACAGGGACAACAGTTATAGAAGTGTGGTCCTCTGGGAAATCTGAGGCCTTAGATTCTGGTGAACCTGACCCTGAACTTTGAAGAAACCCCTCCTTCAACACTGGTCATCCTGCAGTAGGAACTCTTCAGGTTTTGGAATGGGATTTAGGTTTGGCACTGAGCTGGGCAACACAGTTTGGGAGCAGAGAGCCAGTGTGGCCCTAGAGCCATTTGTTGGGATTCTAGATACCCAAAGAGACTCTTTACAGAGTGGTGTAGATCAAGTGTCTCACCTATTGCCAGACAGTTCTTGGTTACAGGGTTTGGCCTGTGTGCAGAAAAATGACCCACATTCAAGCAGGCTCTGAGATTGTGACCACCTGGGGCTGCTGAGTCACAGGGGCAGGGGAGAAGGAAGAAGGGCAGGGTGATGTCACTGCCCAGGAGTTTATTTTCCTCTGAGTGGGTGGTGACTTCTCATTGCTGTCCTTTTCCCACACCCTCCAGGCAAGAGTGCCGGGGAAGTCCACCAGCAAGTGGTGGAGGTCGAAGCCAGGGCCTGGGGGTGTGGGAAAGGAGCTCAAGATGGACAACACAGTGGGGGGAGGGCCACATATGTCTCAATCATTGCTTGCATATCCCAGTTGAACAACCTTTGCATGTGCCAGATAGGAGCCCTGAGGTTCAGGTCTGAGGCCGGGATAGTGCTGGATGCTTAATAGACATCATCCCCTGTACTCAGTCCTGTGACGTGGGTACGCTGGCTCTGTTGTATGGGTGGGGAAACCCAGGCTCAGGAATGGCAAGTCACCTGCCCACAGACACACAGCTGGCCTAGCAAATGTGCTCAGGGTCCCTAGGACAGAGGGGGCTCATCTGGGAGACAGGGAGAGGGCGGGCCCAACATGGTGATCCAGATCCTAGTGGTCCTCACATGTGGCTGGGGCCATTGATGAGTGGTCCTTGTCATACTGATGCACTGGGCACATGCCACAGTACAGGTTGGAGCCCATGATGCTTAGAGCCTTGACCAGGATTCTGGAGAGAAGAGGGGAACAGGACCTCTGGAATGAGCCAGACCCTGAGATGAAGAAGAATTAGGTATTTGCCACTTTGGGGTGGGGTTGGGGCTCTAGAAGGAAAGGGGGAGGCACAGAAAGGCTAGATAGAGGTCCTGGCACCCACACTTATAACAGGTCCAGTGGAAGGGAAGCTCATGCAGAAAAGGCCCGGAAGGACTTTCTCCATGCCTCTGGCAGTAATAGCAGCAACAGGAATAATTATTATTGCTCTTTTCATGTTGGCACTTGTATAAGTCTTTTTTTATTTTCTTATTCTCCCAGCAGCCCTGCAGGGGAGGCATTGTTACTCCTGTTGTAGAGCTGCAGAATTGAGTGTCAAGTAGGTGGAGTCATTGACAGGTGGTTGTGTGTCTAGCTGGGCTATTGGATTGGAATTTGAACCCAGAGCTGCCTGCTCCTGAGTCCTTGCTGTGCCCCGGGCAGCAGGCAAGACAGCCTATTGGTTCCATGTAACAAAAAAGTCCAGGCCTAGAAGGTCTCAAGAGCTGGCTCCTGGCCACCTCTGTTAATGAATGCAGAAGGAGTGTGGACCCTTGGGCTGCCAGGCTCTGCCTCTAGGCTTATGAGCGTCTGTACAATAGGCACAGAGGTGGGCACTGGTCCTGTGAGCGCCAAGAGGTCATCCAGGCCTTGCTGAGTCAGCCTTTGGGGGATACAGGGAGAGTGGTCCTGCTGTCCAATGGAGTCTCCTGCACTCTCATTGCTTGCCTTCCCCCTCCAACTCCCTTCAGGACATTCCTTCTTGTCTCAGTTGGTGGGTGGGTTCCCTTTTTCCAGAGCTCTGTCTTCAGTGCCATGTGTACCCACCCTCCTGAGCACCCCAAGCATGTGTCAGCCAATTTCTCAGCCTCTGCATCTAGCACAGTGTCATGCATTCTATTCGGGTGGTTTTTGGGCCCAGTTGATGCAAACTCATTTAGAGGGAAGCTTCCTGGCCAGAGGGGTGTGAGAAAGGCAGGCCAGCTGCGGCAGCAGTGTCTCCCCATGTGTTCAGGCCTGCCAAGGCCTAGGGTTTTCTCTTTGTGGGTTCTGAGCTTGCCCTCAGTGTGGCAAGGACAGTGTGACTGGGGGAGCCACTCACTGTCCTGTGCTCTTTCCTGTTCCCCTTTCTCCTAGTGCTTCCTGCAGGCCCAGGGGAAGCAGGTGGAGGATGCCAGGAAGACCTTGGGTTGCTCTGCCTGGTGATTCCCAGTGACACACACAAATCACATGGAAAGGAAGAGGATTGCTCTCCTGGGTGGGATCTTGGGGCTGGGGCGTGGTGCCCAGTGGACAGCCTTGGACACAAAAGGCCCCATCTGACTCAGATTAGCAGGGAAAGGGGAGGCCAGCAAGAGGCGCTGCCTGGGAAGTTTGGAGACCCTCTTTCCTCTCCCCAGGCCTCCACCCACCCGTGGGACATTTGTTCATTAGTCCCTCAGGCTTCTTTTCCTCAGTTGAGCTCTATGCCCACCCTGAAGATCAGCCCATTTCCCTAAGTGATGCCTAAGTTCCCACATGACTTGGGATGTGGCGGAGCATGGGTCTGAACCTGTCTCCAACTCTCCAACCCCGAAGCAGTCATCTTTGTAACCACCAGGGCTCCTTTCTTTCCTGAGCCTTTTTTGTTTTGTTTTGCGGAACCGGGGATTGAACTCAGACCCTTGCACTTGCTAGGGAAGTGCTTATTCCACTGAGCCATCTCCCTGGCCCCTCCTGAGTCTCTTGTGTGACACCCACCCAGCATGTGAATCTGAGCTCATCTTGGACAGTGGCCCGGGCCTTACACCACCATGGCTTAGGAGACAGTGAAGACGCAGAACAGCCAGTGCTTGCAACCCTGTCTGAAATCCACGTGACTCTTTGATGTTGCTCTTTTTCTGTTTTCTTTTGTTTATTGTGAAATAAGTACACATTCCTTGTCAAAAACGGAATGAGGGGTTGGGGAGATGGCTCAGTGGAATAAGTGCTTCCCTGACAAACGCAAGGGTCTGAGTTCAATCCCCGGTTCCGCA